ACACACACACACACACACACACACACACACACACACACACACACACATATACACACACATATACACACACTTGGCTTTTGCACAGTTTTTTCTTTTTTTTTACCTGTTCCTAAACAATTCACTGGGCTTAGAGGTACAAAACTGAGCTAATACGTGGATCTTCCTACAGAAACTACTGTGTGTAAGTTGTAGTAGCGTGTATTTACATTCTCCAGTCACAGTACACACTGTGCCTGCAAATTGCAAATGCGTGTTCTGACGAGGATGCACTTTGTGTGAACTAAGACCTTGAGATGTTAACTGAGGGAAACTGTGATGAGCAATGGCATCAATATATTACTGAGCCAGGTTAATGACATGCCCCCCCCTCTTTACTTGAGCATAAATAATGCAGATTACCTTTTTCTGCATCAGCGTTAACTGGCAGTTTATGCTGTACCGCACTTCAGTTAATCCTGCTGTACAATTAAGAGACCTCAAAAGGTCTTTAAAATGATTGCAAAATGCTTCTCTCTCACTGGCCATCATTATTTTGCAACCAAAACTGAACTTGAGTCAGGATTAAAAAAGGCCCCACAAATAAATTTAAGCACATTCTAACATGAGGATGAGCAAACATAGTGGTGTGTATCATGGACTTGCTTTTAAATAGACATTTTCTTCATATCAATTAAAAAAGATATACCTGGGGCTGTGACTGACGATGTTTTGCACTCCAATCTCTTAGCCCCATATTTGACAACCATTTAGGCTGATTTATATCATGATGCAAAAATAGTACACTCAGTTATTAAGCATCCTGAGCAGAATAAGCCGCACACACGTGAGTATATTTGGAGCAAAGACTGATTGCTCTGGTTTAGGTGACAGTATCCCTCCTATCAATCTTAGGCTGATTGTGCACTGCTCTCACCATGCTATAGTTCTTCTGGAAGAGATTGCCATCCCTGTAGAAAACATGGGAAAGGGAACTTTTCCCAACCGCAGCATCTCCTACACACAAACACAGGGGGGAATCCTTTTTTTTAAATGTTCCATTTTTAAATTCACTTGTTATTTAAGTAGTATTTGTTATTTCACTGATACGTTTGCTGATACGTAGCAGAAAAAAATGATTATTCTTTGGTCATAGAGTTCCCAGAGACTAGACACAAGGTTCTTTTGTAGTCGTTTGCTTGCTAAAACCAGCTAAGGGTCAAGTCAGCTGAGGATCCCATTAAACGTATGCTTAAACAATTTTAGACCTTTACACGCTCAAAATGAACTGAATGCTAAATTAGCATTAGCTTTCGTACCGTTAACTTATGACAGCAGACTGAGCTTAATCCAGTAAATCTTACCAAAAAGCAGACACTTTGCCCTCAGCTTCACCATTACAACATATACCGAGGAGAGTCTGTGAGTAAAATCGTATGTTCAACTTGTGAAATTGATCAAGCGATGTCGTTTCAGGCTCTGTTTATACTCATTTTCAACAATCTTCCCTTCAACTCGGCAACTTGGACACCACTAGTCTCCTAGCAACCAATCATGGCGGTCTCATTGGTTCATTGAATGAGTACGTAATTGCGTAATTGTGCTCCCATTGGCTGTTGACGAGAACGTACAGAAATGTGTGGGTATTTTTTCCCAAGAAATTTGTCTGTAAGGCAAAGCTTTCTTCGTCCGTCAACAACCAACGCTTTACCTAAAAATCAGTAACATACCTCCCCTAAATTGCTTGCATTGAATCAATCACAAGAAAGTGCGTTGAGAAATAGATCTTTGTTAAAGTGAAGTTTCTCTCAAGGATGGCTTCGTCGGTTTTAAGCAAAGTGTGGCCACTAGAGGACAGAAAGGATAACGCAATATTGTAAAGATGTTTGCATTTTCTTCTTATCTGTTCTCTGGTTCAAAAATAGATTGAAACACTGTTTGCACTCTGTCTTACAGTTTCTTTTTAGCCCCAAAAAACCAATATTTTATGAAAGGCGAAAGCGCCTTAATTCTGATAGATTGAAAGCGCGTGACTCCCTCAGATCCCGTGAGAGGATCCGTAAACAGCGCTGCTTGTTCGTAAATCTTTTCTTTTTTTTCCCCCATCGAGCTGCGCGATGCGGTGAGCTCAGTCCGAGGCGTGACATTGGAGGCGCGTTCACGTGGTCGCCACTGGCTACTGCTGCCCTGTCAGGGAGGAAAAAGCATCACCAAAACACAAGCACACGGCTTCTTCCTGCCGAGACATTTAAGCGATCGCAAGGGAATTTTAGACGTTCCATTTTACGCAAACAAGAGTAGGCTGGGGACAGACTTTCATCCATCTGTGCCAAAGGTAAAAGGTATCACCGGCAGGAGCATAATCGGGGATTTTTTCTGAGTAGGTTGCCCGGTGCTTTACACACCCCTGTGTCTTTGAGCCAGCCGTGGGGAAGGAGAGGGGATCTAAGAGGCGGCTGTCCACTGAGGAGCAGGACAATGGAGGGGATGCAGGCATACGGAGCAGGGAAAGCTGGAGGAGCCTTCGACCCTGTCACCTTCCTCCAGCAGCCTCCGACCGTCCTCCGCATTGTGTCTTGGGTAAGCCACCTCTGTCTCAGAGCAAATGAAAATAAGTAAGTGTGTTGACCATGGCTGCAACCTCCATTTCCTTAAGGTTAATCAAAAAGCATCCTCATGTCTCTTTAAGATTTCTGCTGAGATTGCATATATCTGTTACTGATTTTGTCCTTAATGTTATTGTTTTAAATTATATCCTTCTGCATATTGATAATGTCTGATATGGCAAAATGGTGCTCATTATGTGTAGGCCAATTGCGTTCACTTGATCATAATAATAACACAGAGATCAATAAGGCAAACTTGAGATTTGATAACAAATCATGCTTCTTTCTAAGTGCCTATTTTCAGGTCTAATGAGAAGTAAGACCGAGGAGATGGGATAGAGAAAGTTAGGGAACTTTTAAGAGGCATATTAAATAGAGGGCAACAAGTCCCTGCAGTCATTAAAACTCTAAGGAGCCATTTTTATTGGGATTGTCTTTTTAACAGCTCTTAAAATGGCTCTTAAAACCTCGGATTACATTTTTGCTGCAAGTAGTTCTGCATAGTTTTTCTGTTTGAATGACGGAAACAATTATAGTCTAAGGAAACTTGGACATCTGGTTTTGTAGGTTTGATTTGATTGATGCAGAAGATCTTGTGAATTACACTGATTCAGTTGGCCTTTTTAAAAATTAAGGATTTAGAAAGAGGTGAGTTCATGTTCTGCTTTTCATTAAGATGGAAAATGTTCCAGGGAACAGACCCACTTTGAAACAGAGTCCCGGAGAGAGAGAGAGGGTGCTAAGCTGTGCCTTAATGTTGTGGTGTAGTTAGAGGAGTCAAACAGCTGATGGATTTGAGAAAAGCCTCTTTTAATACCAGTTTTGTTTGGCCATTAAGTGTTGATGAATATGGTTCTATTTCTGTCCTTTGTGACGACAGCGACACCTGAATGATTACAGTAAATTGAATGTTTCATAATGCATGAAATGGGATTTAAATCTTTGTGAGCATTTGCTGTTTGTTAACCCCCGTGGCTCTGCATAACATGTGAGAAGAAGTCATGTGCTTATTCACCATGAAACTATCTAATGTGATTTCTTGGTCATGAGATGAGATTGTTTGGCCCTTTTAAAGCTATTCATGAAACTAATGGGATGAATCGAAATTTTGAACACGTACTTTTCCTTTGTTGTTATTCTTTCAGCAAATAACATATTACAAATTTCATATTTTCATTTCATTTATTATTTTTATTAATCTGAATCTTACAATGAAGAAGACATATTTGGTTTTAAGTTAATAGAAATACAGCCTCAATATCATTATCATTTCGAAGTTTATTTATCATTGATGGCAAAGACAACTTATTTGAGCTCCAGGAGGTATTTTGTCAAGTTTTGTTTTGAAAGTTCAGCCTATATTTAAATGTACAAACTTGTTTGATTAAATATGGTGGAAAGCTAAAAAATCTATAAAGCATCTTAAACAAGGTGTGAGAAAATGCTGGATTATTTTCAAAGTTGTGAAGGATTTATGTCAAACAATTTTAGTCTAAACACTGATCAAAGCAATAGTGTTAGTGGTATTTGTGATTATCTTCTTTTAGATTTAGGGTCAGTTAAATGATAGAGCTGAAAAGATGATTATATATTTCTATATGCTTATGTATACATTATTTTAGGATTCTCTTTTTATTTCCAATTATTTCTATTAACCCTAATGATTCGTCATCAAATGATCTGTCTGAAGGTGTCACCAGAGCAACAACATGTCTCCATAGTAACAGCCAAAGGCTGAGTTGTGATGTTTTGTGTGATGGTGTTAATCCTCAGTCTGCAGCAGTGTGTGGGGGAGGACACTATCAGCACTTTTAACATTTGTGGATGGAAGACATGTAGTGGTTTATGAATGGTAGTCCAGGGCTCTGTATGTCCTACTTCCTTTGACATATGAGGGCCGACTGTGGAAGTGATAATTAGTGTGAGGATAATTCAGCCCCCCCTGCATGGATGCGATTGGTGAAACAGTGACAGATGGAGATTGGAGCGCTTTGTGTGTGATCATGGTCTAAATGAAGAAATTCTAGGAGGTGAAATTATCTGCTGAATTGGCAGATAGATCCTTCAAGGGCCATCTTTCCCTCCTTCGAGTCTTTTAAATTCATGTATATCTTGTAAAATAAATCCTCAGATTCACAATCTTTTCCTAAATTGGACTTATTTATCTTCTTATGATTTGAAGTGTGTGACTTCAGATCTTCGAGCAATAAGGAGACCAGTCTGACCCCCAGACACAACAGAAAAACATTATTATAACATAAAACCTGGGTTTTAACATGAATGGCTGACGGTGGGATGGAGCCTGGGTGATTTGTTGTATTAATATGACCGACATATTATTGTAACAGATGGAAATATTTGTTAGATTTCTCAAGTTTGCTTTGCATAAGCCTGAGAGCAAACCGTCGCCCTTTTCTTATTTCTATTTATAAGGAAATTGCAACAATGAACACATTGGTTCTCCTCTGGACCTGGTCTGGAAATATAAACTTAAAGTCATATATTTTTCTTATAGATTCCCCCACTTGTCTGAACTTAGACTTCGTTTACTTTCAATTCACAAACAGAGAAAGAAATAGGAGAAAAAGGTAGGTTTATATCACACTTAATGAGCCTCTCTGACAGATTCATTCAGACCTAAAAGTAGAGATGGTGTCTGTTGTTCTGCTTTGATCGTTGTTCTGCTTTGATCGTTTAAAAGAGCTTTACTTTGGAGACCTGGAAAACTCCCTCTTTAATGTCCTGCTTTCAGCTGACTTGCTTAAATCCTGCTTCTGTGTAAAGATTTAGGTTATCGCCCGGGCAACAAATCGTTACGCACAAAAATTGGCCTTCTTGTTCAGCTTTGTGTGCAAAGTGTTTTTTGTTGCCAACATGCCCTGTGCAGCGTTTCTCTTATCCTCCAAGATGACAGTACAGATCACAGCCTCCCATGTCAACTCTGCTGTAAGGTTGAACAGAAAGTGAGACGTGTTGGGTGTCTGTGTGTAAGTGTGCGTTCTTTAAACCTAATAAGGCCAGAGCCTTATTAGGTGTTCGCTGTTGCCACAATAGCTGCCTTTTGTGTACTTATGTAGTGGTAAGTGGTTTGTTGTGTGTAACTGTCCCTGTTTGTGACACAAAGATGCACACAGCAGAGTGGCACATTCTGTCGGCTGGATGTTAAGCAGGACCACACACACACACACACAGTTTGTTAGTGCCCCAGTGTCAGAATTCAGACACATTTTGAAAGTGACTCAGAGAATCTGAGGTGGTTATATATGCTGAATAAATGTATTGATATGCCTTCAGTAGTATGCAAATTGTATCTCTGAATGGACATAAAGCAAAGTTCCTGCTAAAGACGGTCTTGATACTGCACTAGATGATAGCAGGTGTGGTCTTTTGGAGTAAATTGTGCAGTCTTTTAGGAATTTGTCTTATTTTCCTTGTGGTAGATGTTCTGATCTCTCTTGTAAATGCCTGGGTGCCTAGCCCGAGCAGAGATCTGCCCGGTGTAGCTCTGGCTGTAGGTCGTGCATGAGCCAAAGTGGCCAGTATCGCTTTAACTGCCTTAACTGGCTTGGGGTGATCATTTTCAGGTTTTACTTTCCTACCTATCCGTAGCCACTGCTTTCATCTTCCTGCTGAGTCGTGAGCGCTCGCTTCAGTTTGGTTAAGCCAATCAAAGCGCACAACTCATGACCTCATGACAAAAGTCATGAGGTCATACTTTTTAAATGATTACATCACCAGAAGCTGTTGAGGTGATTAATTACAGTTATTTGATTAAGACTTTAAAAGGGCTGGAGCGTTTAGATCTGAGTGGTAAAGCCGTCACTCAAAGCAATGGAGATGTAGCCCAGCAGGATGTGAACAAACAGTGGGCAGTGCTGCTGTTATCAGCCACTCAGGGAGTCTTTTTGCCCTGCATACACAAATGATTATGATGAAACATTGATTGAATGGGTCACTAAACAAAGAAACCAGAGGATTTGAGCACAGATGGCAGTAATGCTAAATGTGAAAGTGACTGATTTATTACACAATGAAGTGAATGAAGGAGAGATTCAGTCATTAATAGTTTAAATTGGTAAATGATTGATTCTCAGGTAAATAGCAAAGTCAGGGTACGTTACTATTTTATTAACTCGAACCTTTAGCTGATTTCAACTACATCAGCAAATGGAAAAACATTGTAATTTTTCCCATCGACAATCTATCCCCGAAATAATTCAGTAGTTAAAAGATCTTTAATTGATGTCATGGGCTGACTTGTAATGTAGAAATCTGTTCAGTGAGCTGTCTGGATATACAAATGGTCACAGAACCTAAAGACATGGGTTACCAGTTTTAGCCCATAACATATGAACAGCTTCCTTTGCGTTTGAGATCGACACAGAAACGCGAAAAGATTGAGGGCATTATGTTAAGTGTGTTTTAAGTGAGTGACTTTGTCAAATAAGAAGCAGAAGTGCCCTCATGAGTACTGCTGTGCCCTGGATTTGTGATTATGTCTCTCTCTTTTCTCAACCTCGCTTCTGCAGAGCCTCTCCTTGAGTCATACGTTGCAGGGCCTCTTGTCTCTCTCACTCTAGCTCTCATTTCATGAGCAGCTGCTGCCATGGTGACAGCAGGTATCCGGAGCCCAGGACCACGCTCTGCAGCTTTCAATAAGCTCGCACAGACCGTCACACCCATGTAGAGAATGTGTCTTTCCCCAGATAACTCAAGGCTGACTCATGGTGAATGGCTACGCCTGCCTTCTTTTTACCACATTCGTTTCATAATATTTGTAACTGTCTATTTTTATTAACCTGTTATGAGGGCAGATCAAAACAAAATGTCAGATAATCACAGATTGTATCCAATCTCATATGACAAATTGATCTATGAGTGTATTTTAACCTTTGTACAGCATCAATTTCAAATATTAGATATAATTAACAGTGGCCCTGTGATGGACTGGCGGACCGTCCAGGGTGTACCCCG